AAAAAAAAAAAAAAAAAAACATGACAAGCTTTACATATTCAATAAGAGTCAAACTTGTAAGCTTCAAGTAAAGTATAAAAATTTTAATTAGTAAACTACTGTGTTGGTGGTATTCCTTTTGAAGAGTACATGATGCAAAACAATAGTGTACATGATGTAAAACAATAGTATCTAACAGCCATCTAGTTATCTCGTTATAAGTAAAATTCACAATGATTTTTTATTTATGAACAATTGTGAAATCATCGTCAGTGGTTGTAGTAACTTGGTTATTACTCTTTTGATCATTTTCTCATGTTTTGTCAATCTTACATTTATTCTTTATTTTCTACTAATAATAGCTTTTCTTAGTGACTCATTTTTATTCAATGATGATATTTAGCATTTTTGTACCGTGATCTAAACTTACTTTTGTTGTTGTGCTTGCCTTCTAGTAAATTTCAGTGACCTCTTTCGTATTTTTTAATTACAAGATACTTTATTTCTGATGATAAATTATAAGTTTTTTTTCCTTATATCTTTATTTTTGAAACATCAATCTTAGTAAGTTCCAAAATTCTAATGTTATTTGAGATAGAATTAGTACTTGAGATTCAAAATATCTCCCATTAACTTGACCAGGTATTAAAGAACCAAGTCTCACAATTGATGTGAGACTTTTGTTTCTAAGTCAATTCTATGTCTAATACAAATTCATAATTGAGTAGTTAAAAATACATTATGCATCAAATATGTAAATTATAATTAGTTTTTTTTGCATACAAAATAATTAAAATATGAAAATCGAATAATAACAAAATATGTTTAAATCTAAGGTACTTTAATTGTTGAGAAACTATATATCAATGTAAGTTATGAAGTATTCTAAACGATATTTATCAGAAAAAAAATTGAGTGACAACTATTCTATTTAAAAGATAACTTATTTACAATTTAGATTATATTTTAGATTCTAAATATGAAATATGAGGTACTTTAATTGTTGAGAAATTATATAGCAATATAAGTTATAATATTTTTCTATAAAATATTCTAAATGATATTTATTAGAGGAAAGTTAAGCAATAATTATCATATTTAAAAGGTAATTATTCATAGTTTGAACTATATTTTATATTATAATTATGTGGTTAGGTTAAATTGTAACAGTCCGGAACTAGAAATGAAATAAATTATAAATTTGAATGTGGAAACGAAATAATAGTATTAGAGTTTACATTTCTTACACAATAGTTCAAAATACACAATAAAGCTACAGGAATGACCATTCTAAAAGAATAACGAAAAATCAAAGAATTAAATAGAAAGTAAACAATTGAACGTCATATTCGCAACCCTCTTGTAAATCGGGATTTGGATATTGGTCCTCTTGATCTGAAATGGTTAATAAAAGAGTGAGCTACACTAACCCAGTAAGAATGTCACACTACTCACCAATAGAGAAATGAAGGTTGGTAAAAATCATGAAAATAACTAATGGAACTCTTAATTTAAGTAAATTTATTTACCATAAATAAAATCATTTATTATACACTTACCATAGCGAAATTTCCAAAACGGACCTATAGAGGCAATAACACAACAATATCATAATCTCATATTCAGTTAATCAAAATAACAACTTTTCCTTCTAACCTATCTACTGGTATCCATGGGGGTCCATAGGGATGTTTCCACTACGCGTGAACCCTTATTCAATATTGTCAACTAATCAACTGTCCTCATACTCCGTTCAGTATGAACGCTAAAAATACCATCCTTCAATACCCCTTCTGGTATGAGGGTGAAACAGACCGTCCCCATGTCCCGTCCGGTATGAGCATCAAAATACCAATTCTTGATATTCCGTCCGGTATAAGGTAACATTCACGGTAGGGTTCCCTATGTACCCGATCCGTCCACCATCTCCTAATATATCCAGTAAGGTTACCATTCATTCATTCACTTAACTAAACAATTCTCCGTTTACATTTAATTTACAGTTTTATAATTTAACTGTAAATCACACAAAACCAGTAATACATGCATCAAGAAACCACAACTGAATCATTTTACAAACTCTAGTGTATTGTCGTATATTTAAAACTATAAAATCAATCAATCAATTAAAACAAGATAAATAGTGATAAATAATCAATTCCGGCTCCATCAGTAACCTGTGATTTATTATCGAGATTTTTTAAATTGTACAAAATACCACATTATTTATAATTAAACTTCAATTCCATAATAAGGAATATGGTGGGGGATTCTTACTCGAATCGATGTTCGAAACACTAAACTTTCAACTGCATCTACTGGTGGTCCCCAAGTTCCCTGAATTTTTCTTTGGAGATTAAAACACGCTCCAAGTACTTAGAAATATCCTAAAAAACTCAAAATTGGTATTAGAAACTCTTTTTAGCCAATTTTGAGATTCCAGCATGGCGGCGGCGCCGTGCTCCGGCGATGGCACCCCCGTCCGCGATGGTGGTTTGTCTCGACTTGGCCTTTTTCGGCCAGTTTCGACCGATTTTGTACTCATCCTTATGAGAAAATACGTTAAGGGACCTCAATTGGTCCAAAAAAGTCAAAAAATAGAAGTTTACCAGCAGCAGAATTTTTCGGTGCGGTGGCTCCACCGGCTCACCTTCGCGGTTATGTGTTTTTCTTCTATCAACCTATGAGAAACAAAATAGTGAATACAATGGTGAAAAAATTGCACGAAATGGGAATCGAAAAGGGTTTCATTGGCGGCGATTTTTGACTTTTTATATGGCGACACCGCCAGGCTCTACCCGCGGTTTCCGGCTCATCTACCGGTCCTTTTGCTACGATTTAGTTATGAGGGTGTTCAAAATTAAATTTCGAGCAACTGAGAGAATTTTTAATTTTTTTAGCAGTCGAAAGTGGCTCCGACGCGGCGGTGGGCGGTGGTCGGCTCCCTTCCTAGCGAGTGGTTCTTCTTCTCCGGTCGGGGATTGGCGGCTAGGGTTAGGGTTTGGTGTGAAGTGAGGTATTTATATTCGTCTCTTTTTAATCTGAGCCGTCTATTGCGTTTGATCTGTACCGTCCAATCGCATTAAAATAAGAAATAAATCTGCACCGTTCATCGTGATTGATCTGAACTGTACGATTGCGTTTAAAGAGAGAACAAATCTATACTATTCATCATGTTTAATCGCGATCATCCGATCACACCTGAGGAGAGAACATATCTGAACCGTCCACACGCGCGGGAACAAATCGCGGGCATGTAGATTGCTGGCGTAGCCTCCCGCGTGGCATCGCGTTAGCGTGCCTTACCACGCAGTGCTCTGATTCGTCGGGGCTATTGACTGAGCGGTCCTAAGTAGCACATTTTTTCTAAATTACGTTTTGACATATAGTTTCTAATTTTAAAAAAAAAATATTTTCAAAACTCAAATTTTCATACATTTTTTATAAAATTATTTTCAATTTCATTCCCTACTTATTTTTTTTAATTTTTATATTAAATAAAAATTTACAAATTTAAAAATTATATTTTATATATTAATTTTAAATATTTTAAAATTAATTTTGGATATTACACAAATTTTGATAAGGAATTTTTTGGCTGCTTGCAAAAGTTCACCTTACTAACTTGCATGCGTCAAAACTTCATCCCTGACTATCAATAAGATAAGCTTGTAAGAAAAATCAACCTCAAATTTTGTACTGTATTTCCTTTATAACCAAAAAAAAAACAATTGTATTGTCAACGGGAGATTATTGAAATATTTTAATCACAAATTTTGCTTTTACTTCACATTATTTTAGTGTCCTCATCCCGTAGATTGCGTCCATTACTGTCTCCTTGTCCAATTAACAATAAAGTTATTAGTCACTGTGCTTAATTCATAGATTATTCTCCATCTTTATATTTAATTTTATAATAATAGAGTTTCTTGAAATTTAGTGAAATATGAAATACCCACAAAAGATATTCAAGATTAAGAAAAAATAAATAAATAAATAAGAGAAGACCCTTGAAATTAAATTTTTTTAAAAAAAATTATAAGCATACAACTTGTCGGACTTTTTATTCAGATATCAGTCAATGTTTTTTTCAACTTGGCTTTTATTGGTATCTGTTTATAGTATAGTTAACTAATAGATTATAGTTTTTTTTTTAAATTATTAAGAAAAAAATAATAATATAAATTTAAATATTACAAATTCTAAGTTAAAATACACTGATAAGATCATCACTAGTGAGCCGAACAAGATTGACTAAAAAAAAATGATTGAGACGTAACTCTGGGGAAACTGAAGTTTTCTATTTTTAAAAAAGAAAAAATTATCATTAATTGACTGATAATATATAATTAATATATATTTTATAAAAAAATTATTTGCTTGTAATGGATACATGAATATTAATAATAGTTTAATAAGAATATGAGTTAATACAAAAAATAAAATAAAATTTTATTCAATTATCAATGAAAATATAATATATCTCATACAAAATAATGATGTGTAAAATTAACAGCTCATGTACGAACATAATTTAATCAAAGAAGGATAAATGGATTAGGACATAGAGGGATTACAGGTGGAGGGGGGGGTTAAACGTGGTTTGGATTTCTAAAATGTTTTAGTGGTAATTATTTCTCGCTTTAAATAGTAATGGGCGTGTTAAATAATATAAATATGTTGTAAATAAGTGGAGGATTAGGTCGAATTTTCAAATGATTGCAGATAAAGATCATATGCTTAAACTAGATGCTTTAATTTTTTGTTTTCTTTTTTTCATGGACGGGGAGAATCCCAGAGTTACATCAAAGCTGCTCTCATTTCAAATCCAACTTCTACTCAGAATCTTTCTCATCATAACCCATGTCTGAAAAAGCTTGCAGGGCAAAGAGAAAGGAATCAGCTTTAAGTCCTCACTTTGTCAAGAAAAGAAAAAGTTGTAAAAGCATGGTTTTTGCAAACTTAAAAAGCATAATATGAGACAAACTTGGTTTGATATGTTTTACATGCATTTTCACACTAGCCAAACAAGCTCAATTAAACTTGTAATCCAGATATATCTCGTTTTTACATGAACCAGATTACTGGTTTTGAGCTACGGATCTTTCTTGGTGGCTGCTGCAGCTGATCTGTGCCTAGATGCAAAGCGGTTGACAAGAGCAAGCGCATTACTAGTGACTTGAGCCACACGAACAATCCTTCTCCTGATTAGACTCTTCAAACTTCCGTCCATACCACGCCCTCGAAAGCCATCAACACAAGTGTTCTCGTCGGTGAGTGCAGCGCTAACCCAGGTCTGCACATTGCTAATGTGCCATAGAAAGTCTGGCCCAACACGTCTACCCATGTGGGCTAGTTCCTTAACCGATTGGCTAAGCCGATCCACCGTATCACCCATGTTCTCTATGCAGTCTTCAACAGCTTCATAGTCAGGAGCCTTGATCCCCTTGATCTTTGCCATCTTGGCCACAAATGCTGCAGCCGATCGAGCTCTGCTCAGGCTCACTGTCAAAGAAGTTTGAACAAGGTGTTGTTCGCTTTGTTGAATGCTGCTGGCATAGCCTGTGAGGCAATGGATGCATAAGGCAGGATAACGAGTTGCCTGGCATGAGGCTTTGATGAAGTCTGTAGAGGTGGAATGTGGGGCTGCACCTGCAGCCAATGTGAGGGCAAAGGAGAGAAGCAGTAAGAGAAGGTCAAGTCTTGCCATGCTTTGAAAAGGATAGAGATAGGATTAGTGAAAAATATAAAGTATGGAAACAATTTATAGGGAGTTGTAAAGGTTTTGATGCCCATCCCACTGCCATCACATGCCTTGTTTCTTTTTAACTGTTTTCTGTCTTTTCCTTTTTATCTTTACTCATTCTTTGAAGCAAAAGAATTCTACTTTTCTTTAGTTAATTTACTTTCTTCGATACCATAACCTAATGGCAGAAGATATTTGTGTTTCCTGTTTGTACTTTTCCTTATCTCAACCCAATACATGCCCCATCTATACACATACATATACATATTACGACTGGGAGAAAACCACAACCCAAGCAAGATTTGAAACTAAGGATGACATGGGCGGTGTAGCAGAGCAGTAGACTACACACATCATGAAAGCAAAATAAATTTCTGAAAACACAAATCATCAAATAATATATATACGACTGTCATTAATAACTAATGGACCAATACCTATAAACACCCACATGACATTTTTTAAGTAAGCACGGGCTAATCTACTCACGACACATTTTAAGAATGGGAGAGATTTAAGAACTGATATGGGAAACTGAAGCCGACAGCTTTAAATACACATAAATGAGCCAATAAATACATAAAAGATGATCCGAGATACATATGCCGAATCTCTCATTTTTGAAAAATGAGTCAGAATTTCAAAATGCCCCACGAAGTAATAATCTTAGTACACCTTCGTCATTGCGGTATAACTAGCAACTGTTATTCAAGGTTTCATGGCCATTAGTTTCATGTCAAGTATTGATCAGAAAATTTTCAGGGCTTACTGATCATGGATTAGGAAGGAAAATAGTCACAGGCAAACCTGTGAAGCTAATAATCCCCAATATCCTACCATATAAAAGGCATAAATGCTGTACATTGAACATAGAGATGTTAGCTACACTGTCCCAAACCATACCATATATTGCTTACATAACTCGGTCCCAGTTGTCAGATACGATCACATTCCCTGTCTACCACTAGTCTCTTCCTGACACTGGGCTCTGTACACAGAGTCAGCTTACATTCAGAGACCATAAATTCCATTTCAAGATATTTCGTTGCTTTGAACTCATCTTCTAAGTGCTTTATAAGTGAGTGATACCATTGTTTAACTAGGACTGCTTGATATTTTACCAACATTTTACTGGACGTTTGAAATAAATCAACTTCTATGGAATTAATTTGAAACTTTACATCTTATTTAGTTAAAAGATGAAAAAGATCCATAATTGATGAATTTGAAATAGAGTTGAATGGATAAACTCGGAATTCTATCAAATTTAGAATTCCATTGAAAATCAATTTTTATCATATTTTCACTCTCCTAATCAAACTAAGTGTATGTCCTTAGTTTTTAAGTATTCTCATATAAATCAGCACATTGCACTGTTAATAGCTTTGCTCAAGCTCTTGGATTCTAGTAACTTAGAATTAGAGAAAGAACGAGAGAATAAGGAAGAAAAGAAAAGGGAGGAGAGATAGAGAGAATTCAAGAGATACTAGTTAAAATTAGGAACTTCAATTTTCTGCAATGTTCCCAAACTTCCCACTGACTAGCTATATAATATACGAGTTATAGGGTTATGATGAGAAGAATAACACCAACAAACATTTAAATTAACCAAAACAACTTTTCCCTCTTCCCCACTTATTCCTAATTTCCCAATTGACCATTTTTCCTTTGATACACCTTCAACGGTGTCCTGATATGCACTCAAACAGTTATTCATAGATTATGATGCAGATAATTTTATTTAGATGTTCAAGAAATATCTTAATGATGATTCCGGCTTTTTTTCTTGGATATTGATGATTTAATTTTTACATATGGTTATTGCATATCATGCCTTTACAAAACAATCACATCCTGTTTGCTATTTGAATATACTCAAATTTCAATCAACCTAATTAACCATTTTGAGCAGTATGGCTTAATAATCAAGCTAAATTCATCAGCACTACATGAGAAAGATGGACAGCATAATTATCCAGCACCTGCATATTATACTGTCATGTACTTCAGAACAGCCCCACGAACCTTTTTCATGAAATCTGCAGCTTGTTTCTACAAAAATGTCCATCGACAAACATTCATGAGTAATGCGCTAAATTCAAGAAAATCATGATTGGAACAGTAAAAGAACTTCATGGACAACTACATCTACTGACAGGAGTTTATAGATGATGATTTCTTCGTGCATTTCACCTCTAAGCAGATGTTCAACTGGAATCTAAGTACATGGTGAAAATAAACTGAATATATAAAATTTAAGATAATTATTAAAAAAAATATATATTATATTCAGTTTGAATGGAATGTTCTTACACAACAATACACGATCTATATACAGGCAACAAGAAAATCTCTTATTAATTTTCTAATGATAACCGCCCATTTATTTTATTTAATTACTATTAAATTTTGCTATTTAATTTTTTTATTTAATTTTATATTATTTTGTTTTAATTTTTCATAACCACTTATTTTAATTTTTTTTAATTGATAATTTATTATTTTAATAAAGAAAATAATTAATTCTAACAATCTCCTCCTTTAATTTATTTTCTTTGACATGCTGATCAAATTTTGATTGTGTATGAATTTTTCTTTGATTAATGTTTTTGTGAAAATATCAGCAAGCTGAAGATCCGTTCTATAAAATTTGAGTTGTACTTCTTGGTGCTCTATTGCTTCTCGAATATAATGACACTTGATAGCAATATGTTTAGTCCTGTCATGGTTAATTGAATTCTCACTAATTACAATTGCTGACTCATTGACGCAGAATATTGTTGCTAGTTCTTCTTACTTTTCACTAATGTCTTCTAGAATCCGTTTTAACCAGACTGTTTGCGTGACAGCACGAGCTGCTACAATGTACTCAGCTTCAGCTAATGATAACACCACTACACTCTACTTTTTTGACGACCATGAACAAAGATTAGATCCGAGTGAGAAAACATATCATGATGTACTTTTCATGTTATCAACACATCCGATCCAAGTACTATCTATATATCCGATCAATTTTGAGTTTTCTACTGGTTTATATTATATTCCATAATCTGTTATACTTTTAATATATCTAAACACTCTCTTTGCAGCTGTGAAGTTTAGTTGACTTGGACTGGTCATGAATCTTGGTAATAGGCTAGCAGCAAATATGATATCTAGTCGTATTGCAGTCAAATATGACAAACTTCTAACTAAACTCCTGTAAGTGATTTCATCTGCCTTCTTTGCTCCATCGTCTTTTTTCAGCTTTTCATTAGCCATTAGGGGAGTTGTAACTGATTTGCAATCTTGCATATTAAATTTTTTCCAAATATTTTCTGCATATTTTTTCTGTGATATAAAGATGTTTGTATCACTTTGGCATACTTCTATGCCCAGAAAATAATGCAACAAGCCGAGATCACTCATTTCATATGTTTTCATCATATCTTTTTTGAATTCTCTAAGCATTGTCTCATTGTTGCCTGTGTAAATTAAATTATCAACATATAATGAGATAATTAGAATATCAGTACCTACTTTCTTGACATAAAAAGTCAGCTCGCTCTTGTTTTTTTTAAATTCTTTCTGCGTGAAGTACTTGTTTATCTCACTATACCATGCTCTTGGTGTCTGCTTTAGGCCATATAGCGTTTTTTTTAGCTTATACACGTTGTTCTCTCCCACTTCAACTAGAAATCCTTCTGGCTATTCGAAATAAATTTCTTTTTTTAGAAAACCATTCAAGAAGGTTGATTTAACATCAAGTTGATACAATTGCTACCCTTTTTGAGCTGTCAGAGCAATAACAGTTCTAATTATCTCAAGCCTTACTGTAAGAGCATAAGTCTCATAATAGTTTATGATATACTTCTGCTTGAAGCCTTTTGCCACGGGTTTTGCTTTATACTTATGAATTGAATCATTTGGATTCAGTTTTATCTTATAAATTCATTTAACACTGATCACTGCACGATCTTCTGGTCAATCTACTAGCTCCCAAGTATTATTTTTTTCTATTATGCAGATTTCATCTTCCATGGTTTTACTCAATTTTGTTGCTTCTCAACTTTTTCAAAACTTTGTCACTCAACTTACGAGAAATTACATGACTAATAAATTTCTGCTAGATTTCTTACTCTTATGGGAGTTGATTCTAGAATAGTCGACTCTTCTCTGCCATTTCTATTAGAACTCGGCCTTGAACTTGGACTAGAAGTTGAGCTTGAACTAGACTCATTTTGTCTTAAAGTGCTATCTTGAGTAGTTTGTCGTCTCAATGAGATAATAATTGAAGATGACTGTTTTTCTTGAACCTTCTCATCTTTCCAATTCTAGGAAGCATTCTCATCGAATACAACATCTCTACTGATCATCAACTTCTTTTCTAAATTGTACATTCTATACCTTTTTGTACCATCAGCATAGCCTGCAAAAATACATCTTTCATTTTGTTATCAAACTTTGATCTATTTTTGGTTGGTACATGAGCATAACATACACAACTGAAAATCTTCATATGACTAATCACTGGCTTGACACCACTCCATGCTTCAATTGGAGTTCGATTTAAAACAGATTTTGTCGGACTTTTGTTCAAGATATAAACTGTTATATTTACTATTTCTGTCCGAAAAGTATTAGACATATTTTTCTCCTTTAGCATCGATCTAATCATCTCGACAATTGTGCGATTCCTTCTCTCAGCGACACTATTTTGTTGAGGAGTATATGTTTCTGTCAACTGTCTTCAAATACCGTCTTCTTCAAAAAAACTATCAAAGTTCTTCAAGGTAAACTCACCGCCTCGATTACTCATAAAACTTTAATTTTACGATCACTTTGATTTTTCACCATGCCTTTAAATTTTCTAAACACTTCAAAAGTCTCTGATTTTTCTTTCAAAAAATATATTCATGTCATTCTTGAATAATCATCAATAAAAAACAGAAAATACTAATTTTGACCTAATGAAGGTGTCTGCATCTTTCCACATATATCGGTGTAAGGTCTACAACTTCACGGCAATTACCTTTACGGATCCCTGAAACTCTTTTTGCAATATATCTCACGCTTTTTTTAATCTAGTTGCACTAATTATTCGAGAGAACAAACTCTTTATAACACCTTATTGTATGAAAAACAAGGCTCTGACATCCTTCATCCAATCTTCCTCCAACTTCTCTGTTTTTGCTGGTATTAGTTGATGTCCAGCAACAAATTGAGATAATCATTCTCAACTATATCCCACAATCCTTGTGATTATAGCAATGTTCGCATTTTTATCTTCTATACATCATAATTTTCTCTAAAAAATATTGGAATCATTGTCTGCGCCATACTTATGCCAATACCTGAAATCATCAATTAAAAATGTTTCTTCTTTCACGAATCTCGAACTACGCTCTGATACTAGTTGTTGGAAATAAACTGAATATAAGAGGTTTTTACAGATGCAAAAATATAAAATTTAAGATAACTAAAGAGATATATTGAAAAGAAAAAGTATATTATATTCAATCTGAATGAGATACTCTTACAAAACAATACACAGCCTATATATAGGCAACAAAAACATCTCCTATTGATTTTCCTATTGATATCGCCCATTTATTTTATTTAATTACTATTAGATTCTACTATTTAATTTTTTCTATTTAATTTTCTGTTATTTTGTTTTAATTTTTCATAACTACTCATTTTAATTCTTTCTTTAACTGATAATTTATTATTTTAATAAAAAAAATAATTAATTCTAACAGTACACTCAACTTACTCTTTTGTCACATAAATTGGAAGAATACAATATTTATATGTCGGTTAATGGGGTAAAACATAAATAGGATTTACCACATTGGCAAAGACGTTTTACCCTGTAACCCCAACCCTCTCTGGCCACAAATAATAGGTTAAATGTATTTTGGCTCCTCTTGAAAAGAAATTGGTAGCTATCACACTGTCCTAACCAATATATGTGGTGTAGTAACTAGATATTCTGATAAAATGACAGAAGTTTGACTCTCATAAAGCATTTGAACAACAAAAATTGCTCTTATATGTAGTATCTCCAATAAGATTATGTTGTAATCTCCAGCAACATACCCCAATATCCTAATTCAGCTATCTTATCTGGTTATGTATTTTGTAACATGAAAAGTTGGGTGGTAACTG